GATCCCTAATCCCGCGAGGGTGAGCAGGATCATGGGCATCGAGACAGGCAGTTCGTCCCCAGTGCTCCAGGGCGTCCCCAGTGCTCCAGGGCGATGGTTCCTCCAGGTGATGAACCAGCCCCAGGTGCTGTGCCCAGGAGAGGCAGGGCTGGAACAACCCAAGGTGTCAGCCAGCCTTGGAAAGGACCATCTCAAACACGTCACTCAGCTCCTGATAATCCTCCTCTTTTTCTAACGTTTTCAGCTCCAAAGCCATTGCTGACCATGTCACTGCTGTCCCAACGTCTGCCTTTGTGCAGAGCACTTAGCCCCTTTCTGGCAACTCTTTGTGGAGCTATATGATCACAACTATCCCTCACTCAAGTACTTTTCTTGGCCAGCAGGTCCAAGGCAAAACAGGGCCCTGTAGAACCTGCCACACATTAATCTTTGCCCATGACTCTCTTCTTTTCTTTAGTGACTTCAATCCAGCAGATTTTGACTACCTGCAAGTGTCTTCTGAAATCAAAGACCTCTTTGAATACATCAAGAGGTGAGTGGAAGGGTTTTGGCCTGCTCTTGGCTCTCTTTTGTATCAATTACTGCAGCACAGTTCCTGGTCACAGATGCTGTGGTGGTGTTTTTTTGCAGGTACACTCCCAAAACAGTAGAGATTGAGCACAAGCTGCAGCCTTTTATTCCAGACTTTATTCCTGCTGTTGGGGATATTGATGCATTCCTAAAGGTACAGTTTCTTCAGGTTCCTGTCCCAGCCCTGCCCCACGGAGCAGTGGGCACGGCAGGGTCTGTTGCTGTGCTCTCGCTCTGGGACATAATAGGCAGAGACCTGGAAAGGTACACCCGGTGGTTTGGTCACCTCTCACACAGCACTTAGGTGACTTGGGGTAAGGGCTGGGTTTTCCCTTCTCCAACACCACGTGCTGTTCGGGCAGCACTGTGCTGAGTACACGCATCCAAGGGAGCTCATGGAAAGGCTCTGTACAAACCTGCCCTGGACTCCACAGAGAGGGCTCTGTTCTCCTGCAGGTTCCCCGTCCTGACTGGAAGCCTGACAACCTTGGCCTGCTGGTCCTGGATGAGCCCTCAACCAAGCAGTCAGATCCCACCGTGCTCTCTCTTTGGCTGACAGAGAACTCCAAGCAGCACAGCATCACAGTGAGTCAGGGAGAGGGAGGGTGCACTTGCTGCACACTGCTTGGAATGAAACCATGGCATTTTACTCTTACTTTTGTCTCTGTGACTCCAGTGTTGTGGTACAACTAAGAACTTGACTGTAAAAGTAGCAAAAATGAACCTTTTGCTTTAATCCATAGCTTTAAACTGCAACCAAAATGCAAATTTTGGTACAGACTTTGAGTCTGTTCCCTTCGGGTGATGCTTTATTTCCTTTTTGGTTGTCCATACCTGGTTTTAGTTGGCATTTTGCCTGCAGAAATCCATAAAGTGCAGCTGGGAAAGAGAGAAGCCCTGGTTCATCAGGAGCGAACACAGGGTTCCCAAAAAGCCTCAAAACACCACAAAACACTTCCAGGTTTATATTTGTGTTTTTAGCAGCAGATAAAAGTGAAGAGTTTGGAGAATGCAGAGAAGAACCCCAAAGCCATTGACAGCTGGATTGAAAGTATCAGTGAACTGCACCGCTGCAAACCTCCTGCCACAGTCCATTACTCCAGGTGATCCCTGACGTCAGCTCACCGCAGTCTGGCAGGGGAAGGTTGTGTGTGATCCTAAAGTTTGTTTTTCTCTTCCCTGGCAGGCCAATGCCTGACATTGAGACTCTGATGCAGGAATGGTCACCGGAATTTGAGGAGCTCTTGGGAAAGGTATGTTGTCTGAGTGATCAGTAATTAGCTCAACGCATGGACTTAGAAACCATCTGCCGTGAAAGCCAGGTGCCTGCTCCATCCCACAGCTCAGCCCGCTCAGATTTGTTCCTCCTCACCACTTCCCCCTTGCCAGAAGTCGGAGAGCAGCCCAATGCTGGAATTCCCAGCTGCTGCCCCAGTGGCCTGCTTGTGCTCCCGGGCTCCTGCAATCCAGGAGCAGAGCTGATGGCCCCGTCTGTTCCAGGTGGGCCTCCCGACCGCGGAGATGAGCTGTGACCTCGCTGAATACATCGACATGATCTGCGGTGAGCTGGGGAGGCTGTGCTGGGGACACAACTTGCTGCTGGCCTGGTGCTCTCACTGAAAGCCAGAGGGCTTTAGCTGGAGGCTGCTGCCTCAGTGGGAAATGGCTCTTGTACTGCAGGGGACTGCAGTCTTTGGTGCACAGAAGCCCAAGGGATGGTGGGCAGTGGGGAGCTCAGCTCTTCCTGACGAGCTCTTGCCCATAGCCATTCTGGACATCCCCGTGTACAAGAGCCGGATCCAACCTCTGCATGTCCTCTTCTCCCTCTTCTCGGAGTTCAAGAACTCGCAGGTAGGCAGCTCCAGCCAGGTGCTGCTCACCCAGCTGGCAGCATTGCCCAGGTCCTGTTTGGCTTTCTGGAGCAGTGGGTGTGTGCAAAGGGCTGGTGGGCCCTGGGAACATATTTCAGCTGCTCCTGTCCCTGGTGCCTCTGCCTGACACAGGGAGCTCGGCTGCGCTGCCGAGCTGGGGCACCACATTGTTCAACAGGCCAGCACGAGCCAGAGCATGTTTCCTGGGGCACTGCTGAGCACACAGCTCACACACAGCTGATGTGGCCAGTGTGTTCAGATGCATGTACTCTGAGCAACAGGAGTCGGATATTTGCATGAGCACATTCTTTTCCCTGCAGCACTTCAAGCCCCTGGCTGATGGGCAGAAAGGCAGGAGCCCACCATCCAACCCACCCTCACAAGCGGCAGAGGCAGAGGTGGTGAGCTTTACCTGAAGCTTCACATTAAACCCTCATCTCCTGGATCACTGTCTGCTGCTGCACACTAAGGTGTGCCCAGAGCAGGCTGTGAAATGTCACACAGCACATCAAAAGCCTCCTTGGTCTTGGAGACATTGCTAGGCTGTTCTGTGTTTGGAGAGTAGGACTTGACTCATCATTTTTGTTGCAGAAGCTGCCTAATGGCTGTTTTTGACTTGTTCCCAAGGAGTTCAGCATTAAACCAGCCTTTCAAAGTGTCAGGCTCCCTGTGCTGTAGGTGCTGCAGAGCAGAGGTTTCTTGAGCACAAGCTACAAGGTTGGAGCAAACAGGAATAAATTCCACACTCAGACACAACACTCAGATCTGCCCAGGGTGTTCCTAGTCTGACCTGGGGATCTCGAATCTGTCTGCCCCTTATTACTGAGTCCACTTTTCCTGTTCTCAAGCCCTTTATCTCCTGCCAAGGAAAATAACCTGCGCAGCACCACACAGACGCTCGAGTTTAGTTTATTGCTGTTGGAACGACTCTCCCCAGCCCCTGCCCTACTGCCTGCCCACCCATCTGCCACAGCAGCAGGGGCAGGGGCAGAGAGGATCATGCAGCAAGCGAGTCACAAACCTGCTAAAGCAAGGCTGGTGCTTGGCCTTACCCTGGGAGGAATCATAGCACTAGAGCCTGGCTATAAAGAGCTTTGATGCATTTTGATTATAATAGTCTATTGGGAAAGTGAATGGGCTACATAAAAACATGCCTTGGCTGACAGTGCAGCTCCTGAGCCCTGCAGCACACAGTGTAGCACAGAGCCAGAGCTGCTCAGCGCCCACCTCCCAGAAAAGCCTCCCTGGCACCCTTGGCTGCCCTGCTCCAGAGGCTGGTACGTACCTGGGGCTGGGCACCTGGCTCATGGGCACCGTGACTCACAGCCAGATCTCGTCACTGCTTACGCTGGGCACTTTGTAGATGCGCCCAGACATTGGGAGCTGAACAAAACCTGTAGGACAAACAGCTCATTGCCTTTTGGGGCAACCACGGAGCTCAGTATCCCACAGCACAACTTTTGGGGGCCACTTGCCCACCTGTACCTCCTCACCAAGCTTGTTGAGGACAAGGTGATTCTCCAGCCCTGGCAGGGCACTATCTTCTCCCCTGGCACCAGCTCCCACATCCTTGGGGGAAGCTGCAGGGCAGAAAAGGAGCAAAAGCCAAGACATCTATCCCTCACCAAGGCAGCATCTGTGGCCCTATGTGTCTTGCTGCGCTGGTACATTGGGGTTTTACCTCCATTCTCCTGTGCGAGGTCACTGAGGTGCAGGTCAGGCGGCAGGGACCGGGTCTGGCGGGGCAGGCGTGTGCCCTGGGGCTGTGGGTGCTCGGAGCCACTGCAACGGGAGCACCGGCTGGGCGGGCTGCTCCCTCCTGCTCGTCCTGGGCCTGGCACCGGCTTGGGTGAGCGGCACGCCAGGCAGGCAGCACAGGAGCCCAGGCTGAGCAGGGTGGCCAGGGCCAGTGCTGCTCCGACGGCAACACCCAGGAGGGGCAGCTCCACGTGGGCATCCAGCAGACCTGCACAGGCAGTGCAGCCCCCTCAGCACCCCTCCACACAGCTGCTGTGCTGTGCCCACCCCCCCAACAGCTACCTGTGGGTAGGAGTGAGGTGGTGGTGATGCCCACGCTGTTGGCAGCGCTGACGGAGAAGTTCCCAGCCACGCTGCTGAGATGGATGTGGAGCGAGTGGTTGGCCAGCCCTGGGTAGTGTGTGGCACCCAGGAGGAGGAACTCGGAGGCATTGGCCATCACGTGCCCATCCTGGTCCACCCAGGTGATGCTGGCAGGTGGGTTGGCTTGCACCAGCACAAAGAGCACCAGGAGGAGGCCAGAACCCTCGACCTCCTGGTAGTGGGCACCTGCCCTCAGGATCTCCGGCTTATCTGGGTAAAAAACAGAAACAGTGAGATGGGCAGGAGGGATGGGGGCAACACAGAGTAGGATTTGTCTCGCCAGGGTCCAGGAGCACTTTCTGCCTCATCTGCATGGGACTGACAAGCTGCTGCTCTGCTATGACTACGATGGGCACAGGTTATGGTGTCCAGCCTCTACCAGGCTGGAGCCCCACACACCCTCCCCATATCCCAGTCTGAAGCAGACCAGTGCTGTGGACCTTACACTGCACGTTGAGGAGGACAGAGGCATTGTAGGTCTCCCCTGAGGCTGGGTCGGTCAGGGAGCAGTTGAGTTGGTGGTCAGAGCGCCGGGCAGTGAGGGTGAGGGTGCTGGCAGTGCCTGCAGCTGAGAGGTTGGCTTCCTGCCTCTGGCCGTTGAGGTACCAGGCCAGTGTGGCACCGGGCACTGGCTGGGGGACCCGGCAGGTGAAG